TGCAGTGTCACCTTGATATCTTCCATTCACAAGGGGCAGAGCAACCCAACCGTGCCGCACCAGCGGTCTCCAGGCGTTCACCCAAGGATCCTGCTGAGATAGGTGCCCCTGGACATCTCGCTTTGCGGTGGGAAGAGAGTGCTCACAGCATTGTGCCAGGTTTCTACCCTGTCTTTGGCCTCATGTCACCTCCCCCGGCTACCGATGGGACTGAAGAACGCCAGGAAGGCTGGCACAGGGTAGAAGGGGAGCTATATCCCTAAGAGCAGCTCTTGCAAACCCTCTGCCTGCCTGCTTCCACGCAGCAAAACAGAGGGACTGAAAGCAAACCGATTTCCAAGGGGGTCTTGTGTCCATACAGATGTGTCCTCCCTCTCCCGAGAAAGCACCTCTGGTCTTCTCTCACTGAGTTAAAATATATATAAAGAACATCTGATTAAGCAATATAGTTTATACCCAAACTGTCCACCTTTGTATGGGCACACAGCTGTAAAATTATGGAAAAAAATGCAACTGTTTCAATAGAGTGACCTGTACCTCTACTGGGACTGTTTCACATGATTTTTATATTCGTGGGGTTCTCATAGCTCTCCTATAGCTGGAGTCAGACTGAACATACCTAAAAAACCACAAGCAGATTCCGCACAATATACAGCTTCTATTGCTAATTTCTATAGTTGTGTTTTATAGTTTTAAGAGAATTCTTGTACCATTTTATAATATTCATGGTGCCAGCGGGGCTGCTAGGCTCCAGCCCAGTTATGACTATGCTTCAGTTGTACAAATGCATCTTATGAAAGGCACATGTGAAATATATGTAGTAGGCAGCGGAGAATACGTGCTACCAAGGAGCTGAGCACGATTTCCTGTCTTACAGAAACAAACGTACAACAACTTTCATCCTCTCTCTCGCTCAGTAAGTCTGGAGTCCCCAGAAATATTTTCCACTCAAAACATGGTGTTTTCTAATTAATGTAAGAATAACTTTTGACAGAACCACCAATGGTTTTAAAGAGATTTCGGTAAGAAGTATGCACACCTCACAAACTGCTGAAAAGACAGCCAACATCAACAGCTGAGAGAGGCACATACCCTCACTGGCAGAGGTTTGCATTTGGAGGCCCTTGAAAAACATAACATTTAAGCCATCACTTACGGGATGATGGCTTTGCCCCACCAGTCTAAAATGCAGCTTTGCTGGTGTAATCTAATCCAACGTTACAAGCTGGAACATTAGATCAGTACTTACATACCTGTAAAACACTTACAATGAACATACAGAGGCATCTGAGGCTGTTTTAAACTCCCAAGTTTTCCTACACAGCATTGCCACAATTCACACACATCAATTCTGTATATTATCAGCATCACCAAATGCTCTCTTCTGGGCCAAACAGTTCCCAACATAAAGACCGCACAGGTGCAGGTCATGGCCATGCTCTCAAAGCTCTCCTTGAACAATGCTGCACAGGGAGGCAATGATCTCCATCCTCTTCCTCTGCTACCCTGGCAAACACCACTCGAGATCCGCAGAAGCCAAAACCATGGCCTGGGCTTCCCTCCTGCCTTTCTAGTACAAAACTTCTTCACGTTCCCTCTCATCTTGTGACGCACATAACCCCCTTGCTAAGGCAGAAAAATCCTCACTGACCCTCACTTCCATAGGGGAATGTTTGCTTATGGGCACCCAACTTATTGGTAAAACATATGGGAATTATTTTTTTAAACTACTTTGAGAAACACAGCCAAACAGCTCCATTGAGTTTGTGGAAAAATCCACATTTTTAATATTTTAATACTTACCGCAGATTTCTGGGATTTCTAAGTTTTTTACATATGAAAATAAGGCATTGTAAGCATACTAAAAAGGTTAAGATTCTAACACCTACTTTCTTTCAAACACCAGAAGTTAGTACTGATTAATACATAGCCTGAAATAGTTTCAGAGAGTCAACCTCATGGTGCAAAAATGTCAGAAAACAATTCTCTCCTGTCTTGAAAATATAGGTTTAAAATTACTTTAACACTGCTTAGCATTAAAAGCATTTTGGGGGATAAATTCCAGGGTTGGTTCTTCTAGCTTAATTTTGTATTCAGAGCATATATTTTTTTAAATGGCTGAGTTGGAAAAGTGGTGTGGGAATGAAGCTAAGGCTCCCCTAGATACAGTCATTTATTGTATGTAACAAGAACTAAGAGAAACAGACAAGTAAAGGTCACATGAGTAGTAAAGGAAAATGATGGCAAACCAGGAACTGGACATCAATATTCACAAGTTAAAAAAAAAAAAAAAAAAAAAAAAAAACATGGAAAACCATAGTGTCTGCTGATTGGCATGAGCTCAGGGCTATCCTAGGTCTTATTTAAGCAGCAAGTACCAACAAGAATGCTTTCTCTGTACCACATGCATACATGTATGTGCCAACAAATATCTTACTCAACTGTGTAATTTTGTTCTAATGAATAAACTAATATACTAGGAGCAGTGTAAAAACATGGTACACAAAAAATAAATGTGCTTTTTTTTTTTTCCTCCTGCACTACCTACTAGCTGTACAGTACTGCTCTAGAATACCCAGAGATGGTCTTTGGTAGCACCTGGGACCTTCCCCTACGAAGTGCCATGTTAATGTCCCTTAAGCTGCTATCCACTCTGCTCTCTTATCAGCTTTTCTCCCAAAACCTAATTACATCAGTGGACTTAGGTCACCGCTTAGCCTTGTTACCTGCTCCTTTCATCCAGTTCCCTTCTCTCCTTTGCCGAGGCACACCAGGGCTTATTTTAACAAGAACAATAATTCCCTCAGATAAGTCGGTAAATATTTTCATAAAGAGCAGCTGCAGGATGTCTGCCTCACACAAATTAAATTAGCCGGTTAGTGGCTCAGTCCAGTGCCCAGAACAGAAGTTGTTCTGTGGTAGCTGGGTCGGGCCCCGTGCGTCTCTGCTATTGTGCGTTATGCTCTATATGGGATTTACATACGCTCCAGTGTTAGCGCAGAAAAATGTTTACACTCGTGGGTGGGACTCTGGATGCGGATTAAAGTCGAGGTGCTATATTTACTGATCTTTTAAAGTAATAGCAACATGTTGAAAGGGAGTAAGAGTTCTTAAGAAAGATCAAAGTTTGCATGCAGCAACCACAAATTAACATAAATATATGTTGAAATACTAACACAGACTGGCAGAATTTACTTGCTTTTTGCCCGGGGCATGTAATTTTGGCTAAAAGGGGAGGCAAAACCATTAATTCTCCTCTTCATCATTATGTAGGGCATGGAAGTACACTTTGTGTCGGAGCTGATGACTGTTCAGATTAATTTTGCGAGACCAGACTAACACTACCATGTTGCTCATGGCTTGCAAGCTTTGGAAAGATGAGGCTTACATCCTCTCCAGGAAAGAAAAAGAAATCCAATAGTATTGCTTCACCCACATTTCTTGAAAGTTAGCCCTGCAGTCAGTCCTTGCTGCTCCTGACAGAACCTGTGCCGGGTGACAAATGAAAAGCTAACAAGCAGTGAGCTATATGACCTCCTTTTGTTTGACCAATTCCTATTCCAGTAAACAGATCGGCTCTTTTTTCTTGTGGGAGCATCAGCAGCATGGAGACCACAAGGGAAGAAGATATTTCACAAGGGCAAGGGTTTTGCAGCCAAATCACAGCCCCAGACTGCTGGGCTATTGGGACTATTATTGTTGAGAATATGTTGTTGCATAAATTGGCATATGGGTAACATTACCGTTATGTCCTGGGGAATAAACTTTAGCTAATGCGGACGGCCAGAAGAGAAGCCAGGTTTCTATCTTTAGTGCTCACCATGAGCAGGTAACAAAGCATCTTTGATCGGATTTCCTCTCCTGACATAAAGGAGTTGTCAAGATCCGTGAGACAGCTGTAAAGCTCAAGCTACTTTCAAGATTGGAGCTTTGCTGCTTTGTACTTTGCACCACAAGTTTTTGTCTCTACTTCACAGCACGTGCTTCATAAATACATCTTTTCAAGAGACCGCATCACAACAGCACTGCTCCCAAAGCCCCCCTCACTTGATGCCTCACATGCCCACTCAAGGGGGAAAAAATGCGTAACCTCCCGTTTTAAGTAGGAGGAGAGTGACTTCTCCGATATCAAATAGCAAATGGAGAGCAAAGCTAGGAACCAGAGCTACCTTATGCCTCTTTGAACAAAAGGTGATATTCTTCCTATGCCACTTTGGGGCTGAAATCCTGTGGCAACCCAAACAAAAAGTAGTTACTCCTTCAGCAACACCCTCAGCACTACTTTACTGTCAAAGCTTCTCGTTCAGCATGTGCTGAAACACGCCGGGTAATGTAACTGGTGTAATTTCAAATAAATCCACGCCCCCCAGAATAAGTTTTCCTCTAAGGCTGAGCCTACCAAAAAAAAAAAAAAAAAAAAAAAAAAAAAAGAGCTGAGGTTTCGGGAAGAGAGGTGAGGGCGAAGCAGTAGCCGGGCAAGATGTGGGACCGGAGCCGGCGGGCACGGCGCTTGGAGACCCCTTTTCCATCGCTTTCCACGCGGGCCACCGGGCTGCTGCTGCCCGGCGCTTCGGGGAGGAGGGGATCAAAGAAAGAAACGAAGGCGCGGAAACCTCCCGGCAAACGTTACACGCTCGCTGCAACAACCCTAACTTAAGGCTGAGCGCCGCCCCTCACGAAACCCGCCTGCAGCTCCGGGCCGGACTCCCCAAGTTTCGCCCCTAGCCCCTCTCCCCAAAGCGGCAGCACCCGGGGGCCCCACCTGGCCCGGCCGCCCCCGCTCCGCGCACGGGGCACTCTGTCCTCGCTGCAGGGCAGGGGGACAAGGCACTTTGTGCTCGCGGAGGGGACAGGGGGTAGATGTTATTCCCGCACTCGCCGGAGTGCCGGCCTGGAAAATAAAGTGCCCGCGGCGGCTCCCCCGCGCGCGCCCCACAAAGCGAGGAGGAGGAGGAGGAGGAGCAGGGAGGAAGAGCGGCCACCCGACCCCCGGCGCTCACCTCGGCCCAGAAGTTGTCCATGGCGGTGGCGGCTCTGCCGGGCGGCCCGCGGGGCTGAACGCCGGGCCCCAGGCTCGCACCATGTGCCCCGGGCTGGGCCGGGCCGGGCCGGGGGAGCGGAGCCGCCTCAGCCGCCGCGCCGCCCCATGGCAGCCCGTGCGCCCCCTCGGAGCCGCTACGCGCCCGGCCGAGCCCCGCAGCGCATAGCGACCGCCGCTAGAAGCCGCGGGGAAAAGAGGGGAAAGGATTAAAAAAAAGGAGGGAGGAGGGGGAGGAAGGCTCCCGCCGCACGATCCTGCCCGCGCCGGGGCCGCCCCATCGCGGCGGGGCAGAGGCGGAGCCGCCCCTCGCCCCGCCCCGCCAGTGCCGCCCCGACCCCGGCGGGACGGACCAAGGACGGGCCGGGACGGAACGGGACCCAGTGCTGGAGCCAGAGCCGGAGCCAGCTGCAGCCCCCGCGCAGCGACACCCCGGCGCGCCGGGGTCCCGGCCCCTGGAGCCGCCCCGGGATGTGCTTTGCTCCCCAGCCGCAGCATGGAGCACCCCCAGCAAGCACGGGGTACCCACAAAGTTGCATCTCCTTTAAGGAATATATACATACATATATATATATATACACACACATACACACACATACAAACACACAGAGCCTTTCCTCAGGCAGCAAACTCTCCTTAAACTTCGTAGGTGCAGGCTCTTGTCAGGCACACGTATCTTTCTTTGCTAAATATGTATATTATTGCAACAGTCACACTGATGAAAGGGTACAGACCGAAATCACATTGCTCTTTGATGTCGCCCCGTAGGAGCGTGTTGGGCCTCAGCCCGTGGCTTTGTAGCTTTCTCGGGCGTTTACATTGCACAAAAGCACGCGCAGGTCACGAGTCTTGGGGACGAGCAGTGCTCCACATTCATGGGCGAGCACAGCACAAGAGGCCACTTCTCCAGACTGGTTTCACAAGGTGGGCCTGGGGCACCCCCCGCAGGGTCCAGGCTGGATCCTGTAAACCCACAGCTCTGCTCAGTTTCTCTTCCAGTGACCAGCTTCAATGACTCCCAACACTTTTCCATGCTGCCTCTTGGCTTAGCGGAGCATGACCAAGGCCACCCTGTCCCAGGACCACTGGAAACAACTCTGCCAGGTGCAAATAGGAACACCCCAAAGCCAGAGGGGTCACTTTCCTTCCCCTCTTTTTTCTCCACACCAAACTCCTTCCTACTTTCCTATAGCTGCTTCAAAACTCGGGCTCAGCCCCGGGTTTCGCCTGGGTCAGCAAGGGCATGTCTACGCAGTAAAGCGTCCCAGCGCTGTTAGCCTAAATAACTCATTACTGCACGATAGTTGTGGCCTAAATCCCCACGTGCATGTTCTGTAACTCTCCTCTAGACTAACCCCTGCACTTCCAGAGCTCTTACAGGAGACTCAGTTTTTCCTCCCACTACCACTGTTCCACAAACCCTCCCACTCATGAAAGTCTTGAGTTGGGGAGGGCTGAATCAGACCAGGTATATTTATTATGTTCTTGTGACCTCTGATTGCTTTATTTGACAGCAAACTACTGGAATGTAGCACACGCATCAGCCTTCTGTATTGCACAGAGCAAGGCCTGTCCAGCCCAGCAGCCTAGAAACTCATGGAAACTTCTAAACTTTTATCCTGTAGAGTAAAAACAGCCTCTTCGTTTTTAAATAAGTATTTCAGTAAATTGCAAGAAGTCCTTACCAATAGAATACAAGCAGATTTATGTCATCTAAAAAATATATAACAGGAAGAATGAGTATTCTCCTGTGGCGTGAGCATATTGCAAAAGACTGTAAAGCTCTTCAGATTTCTTGTATTATTTAGAACAGCTAAGAAAGGCAAGGAGAGGGGTTCTTGTGAGAAGGGTGCCGGGCAGCACAGGGGAAATGGGAACTGCTGTTTGTGCTGCTGCTGTAACCCACTACTGCCTTTCTCAATCTTTGTGTTCTTACAGCTCATGCTCTCTAAGTACCAGCATCTGTGTTTCATAGGAAGGGGTTTTGAAACGCGGCTTTGCTTTTCCCAACTCTGAAAATGACCCTAAAGTGGTTTCTTACGCACTTTGTGCAATGGTTTTGGAATCTGGAAAACCCCACAAAGCTGCTGTACCAGACTCCATGCACATCTGTGAACATCTGGGGACCTGGGCAGTTCTGCACAGCTCCATCTGCAGAAATTCCTCCACTTATTGCATGTCTAAGGTAAATTACTGCCTTTTGAAGCTGTTCACATGTGTATAGGCCCCAGTTTCAGCCTGGGCAAGGACCAGGCATGGACATAAGGGCTCAGCCCCACTACCATGAGGAGATATCCTCCCTCTCTGTCTATAAGAATCTCTCCTTGTGTCAATGCCCTGTGGATGTTAAAGCAGCTCTCCAGCAGCCCTCCTGCTTAGCTCAGTACAGCTTCTGCATTTACTACACAGGTTTTATTCTCAGCTACTCTATTATCACTCTTTTGATACTCCTCACTTGAATACACTGCAGTATATGAATTATTTCACATCTTCACCCTGCTTTTCTCACCTTCCTCACCACCAAAAAGTTGCTGAACTCCCTCCCTAAAAGTCAGGCAAATAACAGACCTTCTTTAGCTCCAAAATAATCTTTGCAGCTACAGTTAGCATGAAAGACTGGACTTTTATAGCTCAAAATCTCCCATAGCATCCAGCTATCTCTGGAGGCAAAACAGCTTAACAACTGCCAGCCAGTTACCTATAAATCAGATGTCTCACCTGAACCATGCTTCTTCACAGGGAGTTTCCACAGTCCAAATTGGTAGGGCCTTTTCTAAGAGATTTATTACACCTGCCTTTTATTAGAGTTTGCAGACACAATTACACCCCAGCAAACCATTAACTCATTCAATCCCCTGAGCGCAGCTGATTCAGTTCTAGATGTGGTTTTCAAGGTATCCCTCCCCTCCATTCTGCTCAAGCTCATACTTCCACAAACATCAGAGCCTGTAACCCTGCTCCAAGAGAGCAGGAACCCCCCATGATGGGGAGCTGACAAGTTTGTTTCTGAAATGCTTTCCCTCCCATCGCTGTATGGAAGGCTTCCCCTCTCTGCCCCACAACACTGCTGCCCCTCGTCATCGGAGCAGCCTTTGGGACATGCATCTTGTTTTCAGTCAGAGAATTAAGTGGTGGTAGAATCAGTTAATTCAATATCACTAATTAAAAGGAGCAAAAATTAAAGTTTGCTTCTCAGGAAAAAGAGGCAGTGACTTGAGTTTCTCACACTTCGCAGTCTTACTCCAGCCAAAATGGGCTTTCTCCAAAACATACTTTCAGATTTTTCCCTTAGGATCTTTGTCTATGGTATGGCTCATATTTGGATGAGCTTTGCAGATGGTATATATTTCTAGTATATATTCCTGTTTCTTTAAGCTCATTCAAAAATAAGAGCTTAATTGTTTCTTGTACTTATTCTCCAGGGTTGTTATTGTACCTGTGAGCTCTGGTCAGGTTTCAGGTCCCTTCTGGTATGCTAGATGTTTGGCATTGACATGAATCAATTTAATCTCGAAGTTCAAGGGCAAGGCATTAATGGAGAGAGAAGTGTTTCTGTGCTGGGTGACAGCATATAGAGCAGAATGTGCTCTGGAAGGATACAGCTGTATGCTAAAAAATGTTTCAGCAAAGTTATCACCTCTGCAGAGTACAAAAGCAAATTCCTTCCATACATGTCCATCACAACTGCTTCACAAGCATGTGCTCAGGTTGCAACGCCGCTTCAAGGTTTGGACTCTAGTTTTCAAAACAATTGATGGATTCTGGTCAAGACTGGATACCCTTCCTCTCTTTTTGACTTCCATTTTCAGTTCTCCAGCCCTCCCCATGCAGCATACAATTTCCTGAGCATCTCACTCCCAGCTATGAACTCCATTAGATGCCAGGTCTTGTTACTCTAACTTAGATCTTGCCAGAAAATGCCTAGCCCTAAAGACTGTAATGGATAAAATTAATTACTGTTACATATGAATTTGAGTTATTAACCTTTAGGAGTAATAGAAAAAAACAGTGAGTGAATAAGCAGCAGATTTTTAACAGCTTTATTTATAGCTACTATCGCAGTAAGTCATTGCAACATTTTATTTTTACATAAACAGGTTCCCAATAGAAGTGAAGAGATATGAAACTGGGAGACATTTTCTTGGCTTCTTGAGCCTCTCTTCTGAATCATAACAACTTTTTCAGTCATTTTCACCTCTTTATACCCTAATTTCCATAACTGTAGTTTCAGCATAATACTTCAGAGTCCCTGATGAGGAAAAGATAACAACTACAGAAAACCCACATGACAATCACAGATATAACACATGTGATACTTTTTGCACACACATCCAAAGCAGCAGTCTTATTCTTTGCTTGGGTTATACAGGTCCAAAACTTGGAAATGGAGTTGGATTTACCTATGACAGCACATTTAACCTTATCAACTTGGGATCAAGCAAAGAGCATTAACTAAGACATTAACATTTTGCCCCACCAATGATTTTCTTTCTGGTTTTCTCTAGTCTCTGCTTCTGTGACTGTGAGGATTAGATTGCTGTATAGAATTTCTGACCAGAACCTTGACCTGGGAGATTTTTTTATATAGTAAAGTCATTTTTTATTGCAAGATTTTAAAATATAGCTTCACAGAATCCACTTTTTTTTTTTTTTTTTTTTTTTTCCTCCCAATTGGATGAGCACTCTTCTCTCAACAGCTGGTAGCACACATCTGGAGATAAGACGGGCAACTTTCTAACTCCCTACTTTACTATCAAGTTCCCGAATCCTACTCAGTCCCCTGGGCACTGCCTTTTCAGAGCTCTGCTCTTCCTTACTTATGATAGTCTCCCCTGTTACTCCCAGTTCCTATCCTCATGATCTGCTCATGAAATGATCTGCTTCCTTTTGGTCCCTTCAGGCAGCAATGACCACCCATGGTTGCAGACTTTGCCCTACAGTCAGCTTCCGTCCTCCTCAGATGTCTCATCCTCATTGCCTCCTCATCTCATTTAAGAAAGCAGCTGCA